AAATTAATAGTTCGACCAGTTTGATATTTTTCCCTGAAATTGATCTTAAAATTCTCCATATCCGTGACTCTTTCCCATCTTTCCTTTAATATCGTTGTTCTTCTCACATAGCAAAGAAACTTGAACTGAACAATGATTGTGCCCTCACGGTTTGCAATGGTGAAGCCAACTTTTGGCGGGTCAGCCAAATTATTGCCGCGGGTCACTTAGTGACCCGCGGGTCATAGGTCGCCGACCACTGGTCTAGACAGTCATCCTTGTATCATTACAATAAATTGTGAACAACTCTCTCAGAAGTGTAGGAAGCAAATCAAAATTGTGGGTCTATGTTTTATTTGACTGAAGGAAGCGAGGGAATGTGGGCCATAGGTACACCCATTACGGCTAGGGTCTAGGACTCGCTTGAGAGCTCTTGGGTTCTGTATTCAATTTTACGCATTCTCCAGCTTTTCATGAGAGTAATTTTCTTAATATTTGGTGTAGTATCTTTACTGGGACAGGGTAAAAGTTGGGCTCAGCCTCCTTGCTTTCTATGTCACTGTTCCTGTAAACGTAGCATATATTCAAATAATTATTTACATAAATTATATTTGTTCATGAGTGAAAAAAAGTAAAGGCGAATTGCAAGAAATACATCATGATGTAATTTAAATAATCCATTCTTTATAAAATGGAGACATCAGTTTGAATGCCTAGCATGGCTCGATGGTTAGGGTTCTAACTCGCAATTTGCTGGTTGTGAATTCAAATATCATAACCAAACATCTTCGCCCTTTTAGCCGAGAACACCTTATAATGTGTCAGTCAATTCTACTATTAGAATTAAAGTAACCCAAGAGTTGTCATTAGGTGGTGTTGGCTAGTTGCCTTTCCTCTAGCCTGTCTCGTCAAAATTAGAGACAGCTAACGCAGATAGTTCTGAGTTTACATGTTTTATCATACATCGGCTGCAAATACGGCATTCTTCTTTAAATCAAATATAATTTTGATTGTAAACCTCGTCAGTTATTTTCTTTTTTCTTAATGTTTACATTAATTTTAGAGGAAAAATTGATAATTTTTATAATGTGCTTTATTTGTCTTTTTTTTTTAATTTCACCTTTTTTTGCTGGGAAGCTACTGTCATCTGTGGAGAAGTTTGGCAAACATACATTTTGTTGTTGTTTTTGCCCTTTTTTTTTTTCTCTCCAGCTCCATTGATTGGCTATGTCTGAACAACGTAATAATGTACTAAGAAAATACTTTGAAAACAGGGAAGAAATTTCATGTTGAAGATGGCGTCATATGAAGAGTAAATATAATTAACTTAACTAAGTACCACAGATTAATATAC